AGAACAAAAGGATTTTTTCATACGTCTAATTGAAAGAACTCATTACATGAAAATCAGGAAAGGGTCAATTTTAAAAGAAGCAATTTTTCAAAATCAATCTCTGATGCAATAGATGCAAGAAATTAATTTTACTGCGAAATTCTACTACCACTCTTCTAAGAATCCTCAAATAACTAACAATGAATAGCATTTAATCCAACCTAAATTCTCCAAAGTAATCTGCCTAGTTAATTGACTGGGAAAATTATTATTATTATTTTGGCTGCTAAAATATACACGTAAAATATTATCCAATGAATGAAAACTATTTCCAGTAACTAAGAAGGGAGTCCTGATGTGGTGCTGTGGGTTAATGCACTGGGCTGCAAAATCGGTTTGCACTGCAAGGTTGGCGGTTCAAGCTCACCAGACATTCTTTGGAAACCCTACACAGTTGCTATGGGTCGGAACCGACTCAATGGCAATTATCAACAACAACAAGAAGTTTCTTTAAAACTCATGCTGGTAGAAAAACTATGACTCTTTTCTCAGCCATCTTCAACTTTCTTAAACATTAATGAAATCGTTTGAAAATGATTAGAAACTATGAAAGCTAATGCATCGCCAAATATCACCCAGCCAATTAACTAACCAACCATCACTGTATCCTAAAATGATCAAAAGGCTAGTTTCATATTCTTCTTCTTAGTTCTTTAAGTTATTCAATAGTTATCCTTCATGGCTTAAGGCTTAAGATATTCTATAGCTTTTTCTCAAGGTTCCTGTTTACTTAGTTCTGTGGTTTGAACACAACAATTGAAATTAGAAATTTAAATCTTCACAAAGTCTAAATACACATACCTTTTCAGATTGTTCGGTTTGCGTACGTTTTGTCAGTTCAGATTTAATTTTTGTCTTGGGACTTATCCAATCTTTGCACATTTATTATATTGATCTGGTAGTAAGGATTAATAAAGAGTATCTAGTCACTTAAATTCAATTTTTACCAGGAGTTAACAAATCAACAATCATTTAAATAACACATGTGGAATCTAAGTGTCATTAACATACACACATACACACACATCAGTCACTTCTACAAATTTGAAAAATCACATACTGATAGATAATGATCATCATTTTTGTTGTTTTACAAATGCTTAACACTTTTTTAGATCTCTATTTCATCTGTAAATGAAAAACTACCTAGTAAGGAAGATCATAAAGGAATGTGTGACCAAGGGAACCACAAAATCATGAGTTCTTTGAGGTAATGATGTAGAAGTGAAAAAAATTGTTAGCTGGGTAAAGATGTATATTGTGGTGGCAAAGTAGAGTAATAGGAAAGAAATGGATGGGCATCAATAGATCTGGGAACGTAATTTTATTCATTTGGCCCTCATCTGACAAAAGTCTAAGGAAGCTTTCAGTTCTACAAGTCTATGTTTCAGCCAAAAGGGAATTTCTAATAAGAAAGAAAAACACAAAGAATTAACTAATATTTCCTATGAATAAACAAAAGAAAAATGAAGCAGATCAGTACTTGATAATAACTCAAGACAAACAAAAAGATGAGAGAAAATATCATTTATATGGAATGCTGGAATAGCAAATTGTTTATATAACTATCACATTTAGAGGAGATGATGATACTGGCAAAAATGGGGAGAAAAAACTCTTGACTTATATGCTATAGTTATGCATTATGTTCAGTATTATTGCATGTATTTTTACTAGCCAACAAAAGTTACCAAAATAAAAGGACTCCATGCCTTCCCCATTAACTGTGTTGGGTGGTTTTTCATTTGAATCTGAGGTAGAAAGTAAACCTACATTGTTGTTGTTGCTAAGTGCCATCGAATTGGTTCTGACTCAAAGCAACCCTGTACAGGATTTCCAAGGAGCACCTGGTGGGTTTGAACCACCAACAGTGTCACACCAGGACTCCAAACCTACATTTGTTGTTGTTAGTGTCATTGAGTTGGCTTTGACTCATATCGATTCTGTGTAATGTTTCCAAGGAGCAGCTGGTGGGTGTGAACCGCCCTGTGATTCACAGTCCAGTGCTGATTCTACAATGCCAATAGCAAAAACAAAATTTATACCTAAGCATGCTACCAACCACCACATACACATGTGAATGCTGGACTACGAATAAGAAAAGCCTAAGAATTGATACATTTGAATTATGGCATTGGTGAAGAATATTGGATACACCATGAACTGTCAGAAGAATGAGCAAATTTATCTCAGAAGAAGTATAGCCAGAATGTTCCTTATAAGCAAGAATGGCGGGACTTTGTCTCATTTTGGCAATGTTATCAGGAGGAATTAATCCCTGGAAAAGAACATCATGCTTGCTAAAGTAGACAGCTAGAGAAAAAGAGGAAGATTCTCAACAAGATGGAGTGACACAAAGTGGCTACAACATGGGTTCAAGTTTAGCAACGATTATGAGGATGGTTCAGAAGCAACATTTCTTATGTCATACCTAAGATCATTATGAGTCAGAATCTATTCCTTTTCACTTAACATGTTACCAGTGGCAAGAATTTGAGCAATTACAGGTGTCATGTGAAACCAAGCAAGTCAGTAAGAGTTTTTAAGCATTGTATTCCTTGATAATCTGCCAAATAAATATTAGATTGACTCACCATCTTGTGATTTATGGCCATTTAGGAAAAAATACTTAATTGTAAACTATAAGTATCACTTTTTAAAAAAGTTTTTATAGTGAATTGAGTGATAGTTTACATGAGAGAACATCAGCTTTACACTCATCCTATCATAGTTTGTCTCATTGCAATGACTACAATCCCCTCCATGTATCAGCATTTGCTTCTATTCCCTCTGGTTTTTTTTTTTTTTTTCTTGGTATTTTTGAGTGGGGTGTGGGGGGGTCACACACCAAAGCTTTCAGGCATACATAATCATTCAAGTATCACTTTTTAGTTTCTGTTTTCTTTATTTCCCTTTCAAAAGGCTTAACTGTATTTGTTTTCAAATAATGCAATTACTTCTAGTTTGGATTTCAAAGAAATCAGTATAACGTGAATTATATGTGCATATATACACTGCAGTCCTGGTGTGGCGCTGTGGGCTAATGCGTCAGACTGACCGCACTTCACAACAACAACAATAAATTATATGTGCATATACCCTGTGTGTGCGACAGGGTGTATTCTTTCACCACACTTAATTCAACCTGTATGCTGAGCAAATAATTCTAGAAGCTGGGTTCTAGGAAGAAAAACGTGGCATCAGGATTGGGAGGAAGACTCATTAACAACCTGTGATATGCAGATGACACAACCTTGCTTGCTGAAAGTGAAGAGGACTTAAAAATACTTATTGGTGAAAATCAAAGAGCACAGTCTTCAGTATGGATTACATCTCAACGTAAAGAAAACACAAATCCTCACCACTGGACCAATAAACAACATTCTTATCAGCGGAGAAAAGGGAAAAGATTGAAGTTGTCAAGAACTTCATTCTTCTTGTATCAACTATCAACACTCACAGAAGCAGCAGCCAAGAAATCAAACGACATAGACTGCATTCTGCAAATCTGCTGCACAAGACCTTTTTCAAGTGTTGAAGATCAAGGATGTCAGCTTGAGGACTAAGGTGCACCTGACCCAAGCCATGGTATTTTCAAGAGCCTCATATGCATACGAAAGCTGGACAGTGAATAAGGAAGACAGTAGAAGAATTGATGCTTTAAGTTATGGTATTGGAGGAGAATACTGAAAGTGCCATGGGCTGCCAAAAGAACCAATAGATCTGTTTTGGAAGAAATGCAGCCAGAGTGCTCCTTGGAGGCCAAGATGGCCAAACTTAATCTTTCATACTTCAGACATATTGTCAGGAGGGACCAGTAGCTGAAGAAGGATATCATGTTTGGTAGGGTGGAGGATCAGAGAAAAAGAAGACCTCCAGGGAGATGTATTGGCAAAAGTGGCAGCATCAGTGGACTGAAGTGTAGTCCAATTGTGAGGTTGGCCCAGGATCGGGCAGTGTTTAGTTCTATTGTGCATAGGGTCATTGTGAGTCTGTACCTACTCGATTGCACCTAACAACAATACAGTAAATATTAAAAACAACATATTGTATGCTTATTACAGAAATTATGGAAAATACAGAGAAATGCAAAGCAGAGAAACATTCTCCAACATATTAACAGAGGTTACCAATATTTACTTTCAGTTGGGTTCTTTGTGTCTATATTATCTATGCTTTTCTGGGATCCTGACTTATTAACTTCTCATATAATGAGGTTTTTTTTTTTTTTTTTGGTCACTTAATATTTAGTAGTTTTAAGCTGTCTGCATAGTATCTCATTCGATTTTAATGCAATAGTTCGTTGAGGTTTTTGATTATCAGCAGTCTCAAAGAGCTACAGCTTATTTAAAGACTTTTAAAATCAATGTGCAAAAGAGAAATGCTGGCATACAGAAAAAGCAAACATTAAAGAGGACCCTTAATGGAGGAAAAAAACAGATGAGAATAGCTCAATCAGAGGCAATATAATAGGGTTAACTAAGTCATATTATTTATTCTTGACTTTGGGTCAAAAGGGTAATGTTATCCATCTCAGTCTTTATACTTGCACCTTAAAATGAAATTTAGAGAAGGTCACAGTCTTACAATATAATCCAAACAAATGTCGCCAATCCCGATGAGGCTCAAGCTTCTTGGGTGAGACTTCTTTAAATGCTCCGACTCACTTCAGAAAGGACATCGAGGTGTAAAGAAAAACCTGGTTAGCGTTGAAACTACTTTGTCAGAAGCTCGGGGGCTGATGGGGTGGCTCTAGCTAGGTAAAAGACTTGCGAACTAGAAAGGTGTCTGTCACCATGATAACCAAAGCCACAACGAAGTGTCAACAAACAAAAGCGTCGGCTAGTGAAGCGAAAACGCGACTATGGCGCAAGCACCGAGGCCTCGTCGCCCCTGAGACCGCGCATGCGCCAACTTCACGCTCTGTGGGCTGAGCCCCTCACTTTGTCGTCACAGGGCAGATGATCAGGGTGCGTCTGTCTTTTCCCTCCCCCTTCTATCCTCCTCCCTTTTTCCCTCCCCTTGTCCCTCAGTCTTCTCCCTCCTTCCTCTCTTTCTTGACCTGGTGTCCCAAGTCGACTCTCGCTTCCGGTCAGCTAGGGCCTGCGGAAGGGTGTCCCGCCTCTTCCGCCTCAACAGCGGAGGTGGCGACGGCGGCGGCTGCGACGGCGGCGGTGGTGCCTGCGCGTCTCTGGTCGGGGTCAGCAGGCGGGTCCCCTCGGCGATCCACCTGCGTGTCTCTGAGCCGCATTCTGGGGGTCGATGGCGATGAACTATAACGCGAAGGATGAAGCGGACGGTGGGCCCCCGGGTGCTCCCGGGGGCACCGCTAAGAACCGGAGACCGGATAACACGGCCTTCAAACAACAACGGTTGCCCGCCTGGCAACCCATTCTCACGGCGGGCACGGTGCTACCTACCTTCTTTATCATCGGCCTCATCTTCATCCCCATTGGCATCGGCATCTTCGTCACTTCCAACAACATCCGAGAGATCGAGGTGAGGGGAGTGAGCGGCGGTGGGAGTCGGCGCTGCTTGGAAACCGAGTTCTTGTCGCCTGTCCCCCTCCTTCCTCAGCTTTCGTGAGGTTGACAGGCAGGGCCCGCCCTTCTCCACACCTTTCCATTCTTCCTTTGTTTTTTCTGTCTCTTTCTGTGTGTTTTCTGAATTTGCAATTTTGTTCTAGTTCTTTCTTGCAGTTTAGATTTGGGATGATTATTTAATGCAAAGGGTGGGTCAGGTGAAGAACGCTCCTTTAATAATATTAGCAATGTGTGTGCTTCTGTGGAGGTTGTTCATCGGAGGTAAGTAAAGTGCAGGGGGAAAAAAAGAAGTTATGTCTAGATGTAGCCCTAAGGGCATTGACGTGGTCAGAGTGGGATGTGAACACCTTGGCCATTGTTAGGAAATGGACCAGATCATAGAGATATTGATGATTTTTATGTAAAGTTGTCATATGTTACCGGATCACTTATTAGGACATATGACTGAAGTATGTACAGTATCTTTTATTTTGAACCAATTCGATGTGTATAGTTGTAGGATATAGGTAATATGAAACCTGAAACCTAATTCTGGCTTTATTTTTACGTTACGTTTATTAATACACTAGTCTTAGTCCCCCCGACCCCCACCCTTATCCCATATATTTTAAACTTAAAAGAGCGCCAGTGACCACGCTCAGGGATTCCGTTGTTAACTGTCTACCTTCAGAATCAATTCTGTGGCAATGGGGCATTTTGTTTTCGGGGCGGAGTAATACAATTTAGGCCTGTACCTTGTACTGGGGAAACATCTTGGCTTCTGTAAAGTGACATTAGCAGTATCTTCATCCATCCGCAGTGGTGATGATGGGATAATACTAGAATGTAAATATTTTGTGTAGGTGTCAATTTTAAACATAGCCGCTTTTCTTGACAGTATATCTATTTGAAACGGCAGAGATTGCTACCTAGGCTTCTTGATCTTTTTCTTTTTTGTTTTTAATCACGTTTTGTAATTTCCCCTAGCTTTGTTAAATACTTTTTAAAAGTGATTTAATGGGGCTTTGAGAATAATTCTGTTTTCAACTACTGTAGTAGGAATAAAGGTGTCTCTGGTAGCATAGTGGTTACTAACCGGCTGCGAACTGCAAGGTCAGCAGTTCAAAACTACCAGCTGCTCCGCGGGAGAAAGATGAGGCTTTCTGATCCTGTAAAGATTTACAGCCTCGGAAATCCTGTTCAGGGTCGCTATGGGTCGGCACCGACTCAACGGCACTCAACAACATTTTATAGTTTGATTTAGTTATATTGGTCTAAAAACAAGACCAATATATTATTTTAATCATAGAATGCCTCTGTGCTAATAATGGTAATAGCAATCCAATCTATAACATATTTTTAAATCTTTTGCTAAAAATTGTAGTTTAATAACTAAAGAAAGTGTCACAATATATAGTTTGGGCATATGATTTTATTTATTGTGTACTTTAACTAATAGTCTTGCAAATGTAGCACTTCTTATCTTTCTAAGGATAAGGATCACACATTATTTCAAGATAGGTCAAAGTGGTGTAATGTAAGGGCCATGGACTTCATTCTGGCGTCAGGCAGAGCTGTGTTTAAATTCCCTACTCAGCCACTAATAAACTCGGTTTGCTTGGAAATTTTCTTTCTGTGTCTGATTTTCCTCGTTTGTAGAATTGATAAAAATTATGCCTACTTTGAAATATAGGGAAATTAAAGTGATATAGGTAAGATGCCTAATATAAAGTTTGTACAGAAGTTACTTTTGTATGATGATGTGGCCATGAGATGTGAGCCAGTGGTGATTTGCTGATTAGCTAGTTGAGTATTATAAAACTGAGATAGAAACTCAGATATCTTAATTTCCAGACACAGGTTTCTTACCAGATTAAGATCCTTACTGTAGTGTTAATAATTAACTAGAAGAAAATAATTTCTTAACATGAGAAATTTGAATGTGTTATTTAAATTTCTAAATATTAAGGTGAAAACAACAATGATTTGTAATTTTATATGATTGGGTATTTACTAAATTAACAGAACTCAATTTCCGTTAATATTTACTATACTATGAAAAAGTAGCTCTGGTAGCATAGTGGTTACGAATCGGCCTGCGAGTCGCAAGGTCAGCAGTTCGAAACTACCAGCTGTTCCACGGGAGATAGATGAGGCTTTCTGCTTCCGTAAAGATTTACAGCCTCGGAAACCCTGTACAGGGTCGCTATGAGTCGGAACCGACGTGACGCCACAGCACATAACAACAACATACTTTGAAAAGAAATCTTTATATTCTTTGAGAATTTTGTATAGTGAAATAAAATATGATTCATCACACTAAGTAGTAATCTCATTAATAATTTTTATTCAAGTTGCCTAAAGAGGATGTAGCATCTTGGACTATTTTAAAGGGCATTGAAGTTAGAGTCAAGATATTAGAGTTGAAGTCTCCCCTGTCACTCTTTAGTTTGTGATATGTCCCTCTCTAGTTAGGCACATTTTTACAATCTCTGCTCCTTTAATTAAAGAACCAAAAAACTAGATGGTTTCTAAGATGCTGTTCAACTCTAAAATTTTGTGAATTCCATGTTAAATGTGTGATTTTTTTTTTTTTTAATGCTTCATTTTCAAATTGCATCATTTTAGAACCAGAGGAACTGACAATTAAGAATGGGAATTTTGCACCAAAACTGACATTTAGTTCTGAAAATTGACTCCATAGATTTTTTTTGGAGTGTTAACAGATACACAGAGAAGTGGTTTTGTAGTGGGTTTTGGTTATTAGAAAAACCTGGGGTGCTTTTCCAAAACACATATGCTAGTTTCTATTTGGTCTTCACCGTTTTAACCACTAGCTTAGATTAAACTATGTTAAGGGTTATTAGAAGCAATTGAGTATTGAGACATTCTTGTCACCACTCACTTCCTGACTATAAGTTGCTCACACTTTTTTAAGTTTATTTCCTCATAGTTCAAAATTTCATAAAACTTCATTACTGTAAAGTGCTAAGATCTGAAATCCAAACTTTGTAGGTTTAAAAGCCAATTGGTTTTTCTAACTCTAAATTTCTATTCTTGTAAAGTGCTTTTCATTCCACCACTTTGCAGCACTTTGCAGCACACTTCCTTTCCTTGTTATGCTTATATGAAGGGGCTTCAAAAAGGTACATAGGAAAATTAAAAGAAAATAGAATTTTTCCATATAGTTTTTGAAGCCCTCTTATAATATCTTGTTTAGTTTTAGACTTTTTCTGTAACTTCTGGTGTGGCACTGTAGGATCAGCACTGGACTGCAAACTACAAGGTCAATGGTTCAAACCTACCAGCTGCTCCTTGGAAACCCTACACAGGGTCTCTGAGTTGGAACCAACTTGATGGCACTTCACAACACAAGTAAAATTAGGATGTTAGGAAACTACAGTTGTTAATTTGATCATTTATAGGAAAATATTTTAAATATTATCAAGGAGTCTTGATAGTACTGTGGGGCTGCTAAACCCAAGATCAGCAGTTTGAACCCACCAACTACTCTGCAGGGAGGCTGTCTGCTCCCAAAAAGGTTATAGTCTTGGAAACCCTATATAGGGTTGCTGAGTCAAAATAAACTGATGGCAGTGGGTTTGGTAACACCCCCCACCCCCCGAGTTTTTGGTCATTTAACATTAAATGAATATTTTCTTTAATTTGGCAGTTGTAGATGTCACATATGTCTTTGCACCATAGAGGTGGTGTTTTTCTAGGACCCCTGTTGGTGAGGTTGAGATATTAACAGAATGAAAAAATGTAGAGAACAAAGTTATTTTTAACTTTTGCTGTGTGAAGTTTTATGTTTAAATTAATGATTAGAATAGGATAAGAACATTATTCAGATTAATACTAAATTGATTTTAAAACAAAACATTTACCACAAATTAATATTGCCAAAAGTGTTCAAGATCCATTTTTATGAAATCTAATGGATTAGCCACTCCCTATCCCATTTGGGATTCCTAATGTAGCGCTGTAGGATAAGCACTAGACTGAAAGGTTGGTGGTTTGAACTCACCAACCATTCCGCAGACACCGTATACAGGGATGCTATGAGTTGGAGTCCTGGTGTGGCACTGTGGCATAAACCATTGGACCACAAGGGCAGTTTGAACCACAAAGTCGATGGATTAAACTCACCAGCTGCTCCTTGGAAACCTATGAATAGGAACTTAACTCGACAACACCTAACGACAACAACAACATGAGTTTGAACTGAAAGCCTGATACTTAACAGCAACAACATTCTGTTTGAGAAGCCCCAAATTGTCTTCTTAACATTATTATTTACTGTATCCTCCTTAATTATTTTTTCCTGGTTTCTAATAAATATACACATTTAACAATTGTTTTTATTCCTATGTTACTTGGATTCCTAGATTATGATATTTTTAAAATGAAATCTCTCTTTTTCTGCATTTAGTAATCTTGTTTATACTTTTTTTTTAATTGTGAATTATATGATAGTTTACATGAGAGAACTTTAGTTTTGCATTCATTCCATCGTATATCGTTTCATTGTCATGGTTCCAGTCCCCTCCATGCATCATCAGACAACCAAAGGGTATATCCTACAAACCTGCCCCCTACACGTTGGCACATAGCTCCTCTCCCTCTCTGGCTCCAAAGTCCCCAGCTGCTTCATCACTCCACATCATCATCTCTACCTCTATCTCAGGCATCGCTGTTCTCTGGGTAGAGTCCGCTCTCGGCTCTTCTCCGTTGATGGTCCTAGAGACCTCCGCTCCTAGACTGGAGAATTAATTACTCCCTTCCTTGCTATAAAACGTCTACCTTTACATTTCCAACCCTCACAATCAGTCCTGATAACAATTATTCACTATAGTATCACAAGTGACCCATCTGCAGTTCATTTCATCAGCTCCACCTAGACAGATTGGATAGTACTCACTGAAGATTCTGCCTTCCTCCAGGCCCCCTAGCTCTAGGTTCCCTCTTGAAAGCTTG